GAATGAGAAACACCCATGTCTGCAAGTAACCATCGCAACCACACAATCTCAATGGTAGTGGAAGCCATAGCTCGATACTCTGCTTCTGTAGAAGAATGGGAAACAACAGTCTGCTTCTTACTTTTTCAAGAGATAAGAGAATCACCAAAAAATATACAAAAATCGGTAGTGGACTTGCGATCAATGGGGTCGCTGGCCGATCAACATCAGAGTAGGCACGGAGCAGTAAGGATAAGGTTGATGGAAACAAAAGACTCTGAAAGCATGTACCACTAATATCACGCAAAATACAAACAACTGCTGCCCAATGAATTGTAGTAGGAGTTAAAACAAACTGACTAACAATGTGAACAATATAAGCAATATCAGGACGTGTGATGGTAAGATAAACTAGATATCCAACAAAAGTGTGGAACAAAGTTGGATTAGTCAAGGTACACCGTCAGAGGATGAATATCGAGCGTTGGACTCAAGAGGAGTATCAATAATTTTAGAATCAGTAAGACAAGCACGCTCAATAATATCCATAGTATACTTGGACTAAGAAATAAGATAACATTTAGAAGAAGAAGTAACTTCGATCTTAAAAAAATAAGACAGTGCACCCAAGTTCTTCATTTCAAAACGACAAGCCAATTTTGATTTCAAACTTGCAATTACATCAATATCATCACCAGTAATAATTATATCGTCAACATATAGCAATAATAAAATGCGAACAGCTGAAGTACATCTAAAGAGTAAAGCAGAGTCATGATGATTGAATGTAAAACCAAGAGAGCTAACAACAGTGAAAAATTTCTCAAACTAGGCATGAGGTGCTTGTTTGAGACCATAAAGTGTTTTATTGAGTTTGCAAACAAATCTAGAAGAGTGAGAAAGATCAAGAGGAGGAACCACGTAAACCTCCTTTTGAAGATTTCCATTTAAAAAGGCATTTTTGACATCCAATTGAGAGAAACTCCACTGACGAACAGATGGAACTGCAATAAGTGTACGAATAATAATCATCTTGGCAATAGGAGCAAAAGTCTCCTTATAATCCAAACCATATTGTTGATTAAAACCTTTAGCAATCAATCTAGCCTTGTAGCGTTATACTGAACCATCAGATTATGGTTTTAATCTTATAAACCCAATGACAACCGATAACATGTTTACCTGATGGCAATTCAACCAAGTCTTAAGTATCTATCTTATGCAGAGCAGAAAGTTCATCAGTCATAGTTTGTTGCCAAAGAAGATCTAAAATAACTTCTTTATAGGAAGATGGTTCAACTAACTTTTGAATGGATGTTAGAAAGCAGCAAAAGGACTCAGAATAACAATAATAATCAAAATCCGGTAACTGAGTAGACTTACGAATACGTTGAGGATAACGAGGAAGAGATGAAGCGGGAGCTTGATCAACAATCTCAGGAAGTACTTTGGGAAGCTATAGAAGGAGGAGGAGTAGCATAATCTGGAACATGTGTACCTGCAGGACATGAAAAATCAATAGTACATGGAGTATGGAAGGTTGGATTGTTTATATCATCAGAGAATTGATCAATATAAATGAGGTCAGTTTTAGCCATGTTATGAGTATTATCAGAAATAGAAAAGAATGGAATGTGCTTAAGAAACATGACATAACGAGAAACATATAATTTATCATTAATGGGATTAAATAGCGATAACCCTTTTGCCCTTGCCCATAATCTAAGAAAATACAAATAGCATAGCGAGATATCAACTTATTACGTTCAACTTCAGGACGAAGAACAAAGCAAGTACAACAAAAAACTCTCAATGAGGATTAACTCGGAGGATGCCCATACAATATTTCAAAGGGTGATAAACCCGAATTGTGGGAAGATGGAATCTTATTAATTATGGAAATAGCAGTAAGAGCTGCTTCTCCCCAAAATTCACTGGGAACTTTGGCAGACAAAAGAAGTAAATAAGCAGTTTCCGCAATGTGCCTATGCTTTCGTTCAATAACACCATTTTGCTGTGGGGTATTAGTACATGAGGTTTGATGAATTGTGCCGTCAAGAGCAAGCAATTCAGAGAATTCGGATGAAGTATACTCTCCACCCAATTCACATCTAAAGCACTTAACAGTTGAATATTGAGTTTTAATAAGTGCTCTAAATGATCAATAAATAGAAAGAAAGTTAGATCGTCATTTTATAAGATAAACCCAACAATAACGACTATAATCATCAATAAAGGACACATAATATCGAAACTCTTCCTTTTGTAGCAACAGGAGCAGGTCCCCACACATCAGAATGAACAATATCAAATGGTGCAACAGAATGGGAAATACTTTGAGGAAAAGGTAAAGCAGAAAATTTTGCTAATTTGCAACTACTACAATAAAAAATATCATGAGTTTGTATATTTCTCAATTGACCCTTAGAAATTAAAAATTTCAAATAACTAGTGGAAACATGTCCAAGACGAAAATGCCACAAATAAAAATTAGAAGACAGTGAATTCAAAGAAAAAGATGACAAATCAACACTAGAGTTACAACGTGTGGTGGTCTTAGATTGTCTAGAACATATAACCCTCATTGTCTACGACCTATCCCAATCAACTTCTGAGATTGAGGATCATACACATGACAAGCAGTAGAAGAAAACTAAACTAAGTATCTAGAATCACAAAATTGACCAATAGAGATAAGATTCAAAGCAAGAGCTGGAACACAATAGACATCTAAAAGAAACAAATTATGTGTATTAACAAAGCCAACACCTGCTAAGGTAATGGTGTAACATCAACAATCATAACAGAATCGACGGGTCAGAAGGATGCAAGTCATTAAAGAATTTTGAATTAGACGACATATGTTTAGAAGCACCTGAGTCAAAGATCCATGAGGAAGAAGTACCCGAGTAACTCTGTGATGACAAACCTATATGAGTGGAGGCTAACATAGCATGTAGCTGTGTAGCTAAGAACTTCTGAAACTGCTCTGCTAAGTCCGTCAACATGGGATTGGATTAAGGTGGTGTTCCAAGTATGGACGAATCTTTAGGTGGCATGGTGGTAGCTATGTTAGCATTGAGACGATAAGATCGCTGCTACGATTGAGGTTGCTGCTTCTTCAATAGCTTTGGACATTGAAACTTCCAATATCCATTTTGTTTACAAAATTTACACTCATCAGTAGCAACTCACACATAACCTTTATTATGGTTCTGTGTGGACAGTCGAGAAGGTACAACCAACACTGAGGTGCTAGATGGAGGAAGAGATACTTTTTCTACAAGAGATTTCAAACGTATTTCCTTAGCTACAAGTTCATTAACCACAGAATCAACTGAAGAAAGTGGAGTGTGATGTAAGATAGCGCCTTTGAGTCCTTCAAAATCATTGCGAAGTGCCATAAAAAACTGAACTAATCGTTGATCCTTTCTAAAAGTAATATATTCCTCACATGCTTTCAGTCTTGCCGATTCTATAAGAGCCAACTCATCGCAAATGTAATTCATAGCAACGTAAAACTGAAGAATACTCATATCCTTCTGATGTAAAGCCCGTATATCAATCTCCAACTGATACTGTTTTGCAAAGTCAGATTTAGTGTATAACTTTTGAAAGTGCTCCCATACTTCCTCTGCTGTTTCAAACTTCACTGATTGTGTGCCAATGAATTCCTTAACAAAATTGTGAATCCAAGTGAGAATTTTGGCATTGTTTGACTCTCAATTATCTAACTCTATTACATAATTCTGAGCAGTGTTCTCGGGTTTCACAATAGTTCCGCTAACATAGCCCCATAATCTTTTTCCCTTTAAAAAATTTCTCATCACTGTACTCCAATACGAGTAATTTTTACCATTTAGTCTGACACTAATGGATTGAAGTGAATCATCTCTTTCAGTAGCCATCATAAAGTCAATAAATACCAACAATAACCAACGTACTTCCACAAACTATAACCAATGATAAGGAAACCAATGATAACCAACGTACTTCCACAAACTATAGTTAAAATATACTGCACAGTATACGTATAACCAAATTAATACCACCAAAAGATCAGAAATTTACCAAGGAATAAACTGCCTTTTGGAATCACCTCGAAAAAACTATTTACGCGCCCTCACGCGCTTTCTCCATCGCCGCGTGTGGTCCTCACGCACCACGCGCCACCTACCATCGACACACGCCTCATCGGAAGTTTCGTCTCAACTTGCTGAACAAGGATCTAGTCTCAGTTTTCTTAACCGGTCTCTAGTTTGGTCGAAATCTTGATTTTAAGTGCGGTCGTTAGGTTTTTTGCACAAAATTTCTTTGCCTAATTTCTATCTTGATTTCCAGCACGCCCCAATCAGAAATTTCACTCAATTATAGGCTTTAATACCATGATAACAATATGATCTATCTTAAACCACTATGTTGAATCAATCCAAAAAGAAGAAAAGAGAAGAGAAGCAGAAGATTAAAGAGACAAAACAACAATCTATTGAGCAACAAGAATTAGGGTTTACAATGAAAATAAATATAGTTTTTATACCATTACAAGGAAACCTAAAATAAGAAAATTAAATATTATGCTAAATAAAATAAATATAAACACATATATCATCAATGTCATTACCAAATTGTCATGTAGGAAAGCATTTTTCATTGGGTCTTATTACACTAACATAGATGATGACATGGGAGATAATCAAAACACATGGAAGGTCCGTATTTTTTAATTCATCGGTCACCTCCTTTGTCAAGCAATTCGGACATTTTGGCTTTATCCTTTTTCATTGATCACTAAACTTTGGAAAAACATCTTAGATTGCTTACTAAATATCTTTCAAAGTTCAGGGAGCAATCGAAGAAATTTTCATCAATACTATAATTCCCCATAAACTATTTAAATAATAATATAAATTTTGTAACAAATATTTTTCTTCAAAAACGTGTTCTTAAAACGGAATATTATCCATACACAAAAAAAAAAAAAAAAAAAAAAAAAAAAAAAAAAC